GGTGCGGGGGTTTGATGCACCTTTGCCACGGAGGAGGTAGCGCGGGGCAGTTATGAGGTTGCTCAGGAGAGCGTGGTCGCGATTCCTGGGCCATTATCGAGCTAGTTAATTCAAAATGAATAACTAGTCGTGAAGCTATAAGGCTAGTATTCGGGTAGAGGTTGGGAGCGTAGGATTTTTTTCTTTAAGGGATAGGGACACTTGGCTGTGTTCATTTTCGACGGATGGGCGACACGTGTTGTTTTACGAACTTACGGAGCACTAGACGTACGTCTGTATACTTCGGCACTCAACAGCGAACTGAAAAAAAAGAAGATTAAAAAGGAAACACCCAACAGATCTCACAAAGGACATAACGTAACAAACAAACACTCACCTCACTAAAGAAATAAATCAATCAAATTCGAAGATGGTATCTCACTGGGGGTAGCCATCCACATGTTATATTAATATACCACTAAGCTATAATATTTTACCAAATGCCCTACTGGACAAATTGTAAAATTTAAATGAATATATAAATAAAAAAAACCACTGTTTGAATGCCTTTTTTCCTCTATGAGCGCTTCTCTGCAGTATTTTCATTTCATAAACTTTGTCATCTTCCTGCTCATTTCTCTTTTTCTTTCTTTCCACTCTTTGTCGTACCACGCTTTCTCTCCCATGCTCTTCTGTTTTTTACCTCTTTTGCATTACCTCTACTGTTCTCCCATTGCAGATCCAGTCCTTACATTCCTCCAAGTATTTTTCCACACTTTCGTTTATTTATTCCCGCTTCTCCTTCTTTTCTTCTTCTTTTTCCTCATTTGCTTGTAGTTCCGGCCCCTCTATTTCTATCTCTAACGGCATGTAGTCTGACTCTGTTTGTTACATCGGGCGACCCTCTACCTAGACCAGGTCATACACCGCGGGCCAGACGGGAACCGGATGTCCGCTCATCCTTGTTGCGTACCCTCAATAGTCTTAAGAACTCATCGTAAATCCTAGTAATTTGCTAGCTAAGGTCCTTCAGACTCAAGAAATATCTCTTTTCGTTTCTAAAGACTACTACAGATTGTCTACTACAGCTTGACAAGGGAAAGATTGTTTTTTTCACGTACGATGCTTCCTACTAGCAACTTTCTATCGAGGGTGGCTAAGACCCTTCCTAGTCTGGCTAAGACCCTTCCTAGTCCACCGGCTAAGACCCTTCCTAGTCCACCAACCTTCGTTTATCCAATCAGAAGCAATGTATACTGCCCTCACTTTCCTGACCAAAAATGTCATGAACAAATCCGATGGTCCCGTGCGCTAGACACACCCATCGCTAGTTTTCCTTCGACGCAGCATCGTCACCCAACTTACTTCTTCTACACCCCTAGAAAAGTCACCTACCTCTTCTACACCGCTAGAAGGATCAACTTATAACGTCGAAGTCTAATGTATAATCTAACGTCTAAGTCTAAGCACGAATATTCACTTCCTCTATTAAGTATCCTCTAATGCTACGTCCACTAACATACTAAACTCAACTATAAGAGCCTTGCTTTATTGTGCATCTATCTTATCTTCGTGCAACAAAGTGTCATCTAGGAATTATATCTACTCAACAATGTAACTTAAGTGTTGGAAATAAAAACTTTATAATTCTGTGAATCACAGTGTTATACTAATTGAATCACCCCTATTATCTTAACGGAAATTAGGGGATCGATCAACTCGTGGTGTCGCGGTTATTATAAGCGTAACGGGAATTTACGTCTCTCCTCGCGATTGCGTCTCCCCGCGATTGGTCGAAAATACACTGTTCTTTTTCCTACTTTCATGCTAATTATCTCTCCTGTCGCTTCCTGGTTGCCAATCACAAAATGTATCACTGAGTTTCCTCTCTCCCCAATATATGTCCACTCCTTCCCTTCTTTATCTCTTTGATTTACTATCATCCAGCCTCTCTCATCCAGGTACTTTAGTAGAGTTCCTCCTTCCATGTTTATTGTTTTGTCCTTTGATCGCCTGTTTTTTTCTTTCCCTAGATCCTCGTTTATCAGCCCTCCCTCTTCTCCTGTTCTTGCATTCCAGTCTCCGCCGATGATCATCACTTCTTCTTCTCTTCCGTCTACTCTTTCCTCTATTTCTTTCCATGTCCCTTTTGTGTCTTGATTATAAACTACCATTACCCTATACGTCTTATCATTGTATACTATTTTTCTTTCCACTATATTATCACTTATTTCTTTGTATTCTATTTCTCTCAGTTCCTTATTTATACCCGTTATTATTTCCCTTTTTGCTCTTCCTTTTTTCCTTACTCTCATTGCTGCCCTGCATTTCCAGTCGAATTTTTTGGGTAGTCTATATTTTAGTTTTTCCCAATTGTCTTTCTCTACCAAAGTTTCCGTGAGTCCGATCACGTCGAATGTCTTCAGATATTCCCACACCTCTTTGTTCTTACTTGTTGAGGTTATTCGATGTGTAAACAGAGAAAACATGTGGATAAATTGTAAGGCAGAAAATATATTTAAATAGAAGTGTAATAAGTAAGAATACAGTTTGAGCTGGTCCAGATCCGCACGCTAGCTGTGTTACCCAATAACTGAAAAACCCCGAAGCCAACGTCGCCTGTCTACTGTTTATGGCCTGACTTCGTCGCAGTCTTTTGTCTACGCGCTGTCGATGGCTTCAGTGCTTGAGAAAACTAAAAAGACCAGATGTAGAGTTTTCTTAGAAGTGGTAACCACTGCAATATTACTTGCTAGCCTTGCTACATTCCAGAAGCACATTTTTATCCCCTTTGTAGTCCCCCCTTTTTCCTCTTTTTTCATTTTTCTTCCCCTCTCTTTCTTTTTTCCTCCAGCCTCTGCTCATTTTCGTTCCACCTGTACCATTTTTTTTTCTATCTTTAGTTTCTTATATCCAATCCTTACATATTCGCCATTTTCCCTTCTTACTCTGGCTATTCTTCTTATTTGTTGCTGTACCTCCCTTCCTTTTCTTGTCAGGTCGTCATCTATGTATATCCCCTTTTCCAATTTGCTTTTCTCCGTCATTGCCCTGATCTTTCCTCTATTGATTTCATTGTCGCCATTTTTACTGTGTTTTTGTCCCCCACCCTTATCATATGTGTTCTTTCTACTTCTGTCCCTATTTTCATTTTTCCTGTTATGAACTCCTCTCATGTTGTAATCATCTTACTCGAAGAATAGGGTTTGCGTGTGGCGAGCCACGGGACAGAAAGCGTTGGAATGATTACTCTCGAGTGCCGCTGCAACTATTTCTTTTTAAGAAGAGCTATACAATTACTCTATACCTCTATTAGGTAAAAACGTTCATCCATGACCGCGGCTACGTTCGGTGACTGGTTGTCGTCTCGGGCCAAAGCTCATTATCACAAATCTCGAACGAATATAATTGGATTGAATGACAACAATTGCTTAATTACGGCTATGGTGGAATCTAGATTAGAGTATTAAGGGGTTTTCCCAAAATTCCAAAGGGAAGGCTTCGGTGTCCTTTCATCTCCGACATATATAACGTAATACGATATAACGTAATACGTAAACTATGTTACATAATAGGTTATAACGTTATAGTATGTAACGTAATACTACATCACGTAATATTATATAAGGTAATACGTTAGGATGCTATACTATATAACGCAATACTATATATCTTAATAAGTTTTAATGCTATATTATGTAACGTAATACGTTATAACGTAATACTATATAACGTAGTGCTATATGTCATTGTTAGGTAAATGATACATTTACACTGTGCACGTGAATGTGTCAGAGGGCGTCCAGGCCTGAGTTTAGACAAAAGGCGAATGGAAGCCGTTAGAAGAATCTGGTGGAGTCGGTTGACAACAAGCGTGCATGTAAGAAGGTTATCCAGATCTTCAGAGTGTAATGTATATGTATAGCTGTTGTGTGTGAAATAAAGTAAACTATTTGTATTTCCGAATCCACTCCACCCTTAAAAGACACAATAATATATAACGTAATAGTATACAACGTATTACTATATGAAGTAATACTATGCAACGTAATATTATATCGTAATACTATATAACGTTATACTATGTAACGTAATAGTCTATGTTACGTCGCGTAACACTCTACCTAGCCCAGGCCACACACCGCGGGCAAGATGGCAATCAGATGTCTTCGGATACTCACTGCGTACCCTCAATAGTCTCAAGTATCGGCCATAAATCTCAGGAATTTCCTAGTAGAGGTCCTTCAAACTAAAAAAACGTCTGTTTCCGAAGCATTTCTAAAGACCATTGTCTACTACGGCTAGACAAGGGAAAGTTGGTTTTTCTCACGTATGATGCAATTTTCCTCCCACGAACCACTTTCTCTCGAGGGCGGTTAAGACCCTTCGTTTAATCAATTAACAACGAAGCCTATTTCCCTCACTCTCTTAACTAAAATCGTCACCAACAAATCCGATGGGCCCGCGCGCTAGACACACCCAACCTTAGCTTTCCTTTGCCACAGCATCGTCTCCGAACATCACTGATTTTACATCCTTCGAACGGTCAACATCCTTTGACCGGGTATACACACCCGTAGATCAGTCACTCACTCATCTCGTACATACGCACCAGCGTAACTATCTTCGGTATAAGTTGTTAGAATAAACGGTGAAATATAACTTACTATACTGTGTCATATTCATTCAACCACCTCTGTTATCTTAACCGAAACAGGAGAGCGACTACTTCGCGGCGTCGATTAACCGAATCGTAGCGAGAATTTACGCCTCTCGCTGACGCGTTTTCCTCGCGACCGCGTCTCTCCGCGAACGATCGTAACAAGGCGAGTAATTTGAATTATAACGTAATAGTATATAACGTAATACTATATAATGTGATATTATTTAACGTAACAATATATAAAGTACTACTGTATATCGCAATACTAAATAACGTTTTACTACGTATCGTAATACAATATTACGCAATACGTTATGCTGCCATACAATATAACGTAAAACGTTGAAACCCTATACTACTATTACGGTTTGTTTGGCTCGTTTTGGTTGTGTTGCCGTTAATTTTTGAATTCAGATTAAATTGTAGTGTTGTTTGTTATTTAATGCGATTGGCAATTAAACTCCACGTTTCGGCTAAACTGCCACGCGCAGGAGTACCGGCACGGGAGAGGATTAAAGTTGGTGAAAATAAATGTTCGCTTAATCCCATTATATTATTAGACAAATATTCTTGACAAAAATAAATGTTTATTCGTATTCTAGTTTGATATTGACAGAATTGTCGTTGAAATTTCGAATACTCGAAGTTACAATCGTTCGCAATACGTTTTCACTCTTATTAATTACAAGATTTTAATTTGATAGATTTTCAATAATTTACAAATTGACAAATGCAAACACGTCGATTAACAAGACTGACAAGAACTGGGAACTAATCATACAGAACTGAGGAATTAACTACACTGAACTAAGGAATTATCTCTCTTCTTCTATGTCGCTACGCTTATTTATATTTAGGTCTACCGGGGTTGTGAGGCTCGAATTTGGTTTCTATACAAATTGTTAAAATTTATTTAAATTTCAAATTGGAACCGCTCACTCGCGCTATGGGTAGCTTTAGTCTACGTTACGGCGCGTGCGCGTGTTATATACGTTATATAACATAACGTTATATGGTATAACGTTATAACGTATTACGTTATATCGTATTACGTTATATCGTATTACGTTATAACGTATTACGTCATATAGTATAACGTTATATCGTATTAGATTATATAGTATAACGTTATATAAATTATCGTTATTTGGTATAGCGTTATAACGTATTACATTATACGGTATACCGTTCAAACGTATTACGTTATATATCATAACGTTATAACGTATTACATATGGTATAACGTTATAACGTATTACGTTATATAGTATAGCGTTATAACGTATTACGTTATATAACATAACGTTATATGGTATAACGTTATAACGTATTACGTTATATCGTATTACGTTATATCGTATTACGTTATAACGTATTACGTCATATAGTATAACGTTATATCGTATTAGATTATATAGTATAACGTTATATAAATTATCGTTATTTGGTATAGCGTTATAACGTATTACATTATACGGTATACCGTTCAAACGTATTACGTTATATATCATAACGTTATATGGTATGTTATAACGTATTACGTTACATAACGTAACGATATATGGTATAACGTTAAATGGTATAACATTAAAATGTAATACGTTATATTTTATAACGTTGTAACGTAATACGTTATATGGTATAACGTTATAACGTATTAAGTTATATAACATAACGTAATGTGGTATAAGGTTTTAACGTTATAAGTTACTTCGTTATATAGTATAACGTTATATAACTTATCACATAATATAGTATAACGCTAAAACGTATTACGTTATATATCATAATGTTATACGGTATAACATTATAACGTAATACGTTATATGCTATAACGTTATAATGCATTACGTTATATAACATAACGCTATAATGAACTACGTTTTGTAGTATAGCATTATATGGCATAACGTTGTAATGTATTACGTTATATAGTACAACGTTATAACGCTGCTATTGGTGATATGTCTACAATCAGATGTGCTTTCTACTCCACATACTCTACTCCAATACAGCGCACATCAGCCGGATTTCGCTGTGTCAACTCTGTGCCCTGAAATATCCAGCGTAATTACTGTTTAGCTGATTCTGTATTTGATATTCAATTCAACGTATTTCAGCAGCAATTGGTGACATGTCGACAATTCGATGCGCGTTATACTCCACATTTGCTGCCGAATACTGTTCGTATCAAGCGGTTTACGCAATGTCAACTCTGCGTCCTGTAAAATCCAGCGTATTTGCTGTTGTCGAAAACCCGCTGACGTGCACTATATTTGGCCGCAAATGTGGAATATAACGCGCATCGAATTGTCGACATATCAAAAATAGCAGCTGAGTTACGTTCAATAGAATATTTAAGACAGAATGTATTATACAGTAACTACGTTGAATTTGGCAGGGTCCAGAGTTGACATGACGCAGACCAGCCGATGTGCACCGTATTTGGGAGCGAATTTGGAGTATAAGGCGCATTGAGTTGTCGATACATCTGCAATAGAAATGGAGATACCTTGAAGTGAATATTGAAGGCCGTATATGCAGAACTGCCATAACATTGAATTAGACCTCGACCCGAGTTGACGTAATGTAAAGAGGAGCACGTGCGCTGTATTTGGCAACAAATGTGCAGTATAATGCACATCGAATTGTCGACCTGTCACCAATAGCAGCCGATATACTTTCCATTGAATATTTAAGACAGAATTTGCTAACCTGCAATTTCGCTGGATTTGGCAGGGACCAGATTAAACATAGCGTTAACCTTATGATGCGCGCTGCATTCGTCAGTAAATGTGGAGTATAGCGCGCTTTGAATTGTCGACATATCAATAAAGCTGCCGAGATACGTTCTATTGAATATCGGCGACCGTATGTGCAGAACTGCAATAACATTGGATTTGGCAGGGACCAGAGTTGATATAGCGTAAACAGGAGTACATGCGCTGTATTAGGCAGTCAATGTGGAGAATAACGCCCATGGAGATGTCGACATATGACCAATAGCAGCCGAGATACGTTCCATTGAATATGCCGGAGATGAAAGGACATCGAAGCCTCCCCTTTGGAACTTCGGGATAATCCCCTAACATCGTAATCTAGATTCTATTGTGGCGGATGAAAAGAGAGTTGAGTGTGTTTCGTCCCGGGACTACCGGTGAACTCGTCAGTAAGGCTATGCCCGGTAGTCCCTGCCTTAGACGTA